GCATCAGGGTTGTGTTTGACCTCGGGGATGGGTGGGTGGGGGGCAAAGAGCCGAGGTGGCGCAGTGGTTAGAGTGCAGTACTGCAACTACTTCAGCTGACTGCTAGTTCAGCAATCAGCGGATCAAATCTCACCAGCTCAAGGTTGACTCAGCCTTCCATCCTTCCAAGGTAGGTAAATGAGGACCCAGATTGTTGGGGGCAATATGCTATTTAGTATACTGTCTTTGGTGTAAGCCTCCCAGAGTCCACGGAGAGTGGGCGGCATAGAAATATGAATAATAAATAAATAAATAAATGGTCAGCTTGACATCACACGTGTCGGGGAGTGCCTGTGGTGGCCCGAGCGTTCTGCCAGTGAAAATGGGCTCCTGGGCTCAATTTTTGGCTGTGACCCTCTGCCTGCAAAAACGGAGTTCAGGAAGGCCGCACGCGACCTTCGCAAGCTCCGTTTTCACCTGTGACGGCCTCCTGCAACCCTCTGCCAGCGAAAATGGAGACCTATGTTTTCACTGGCAGAGGCACCACAGGCCGGTCCTTCGCTGTTTCCAGGTTGGCACCCTGGGTCAGATCTAAGCACCCCGCGGGTAGCATCTGGCCCGTGAGCCTTGAGTTTGACACCCCTGCACTAGATGGACCAGAACAGGAAATCAAATCCACAGGAAGGTTATGAAGACTTTTATTGTGCGTGGCTATAATAACACAATCCGATTGTGCTGTACCTCTTTCCTGTTTTTCCACATCGGTGGAGGCATCTGTCTGAGCTACTTCTGAATGTTACCTTATTGCTCTGGAATTTAAAAATATTTCAGCCCCTTTTGCCTAAGCAACAACTATCTCTGCCAAAGTCAACTTCCTTACTCTCTACCATAATGGCCTCCAAAGCTTGGCTACTAATGGTGACATTAGTGCTCATGCTCCAAATACTAGGGGAGCTTTCTCCCAAGAGCCCCAAAAGGCTGAGGGTTGGCTTTCTGGGTTTTGCGGTTGGAGGCTTTTTTGAAAACCGTTCCTTCCTCTCCGAACTCTGCTTAATTTTTTTCTCCTTCCTTGACCTCAGATCCAAACCAAACATCTTCTGCTGCAGCCTCCAGCAGTTTCAACAGTGCCATCCTCACTTTCCGCATGATCTCTTTTGCCTGAGTTCACATTCAAGGAGCAGCTGACAGCCGTTCATCATCTCCATCCAGAGACTGATCAGGAAGGGAAAGGCTGCCACTGACAATCTCATTCAGCTGCAGCTCACTGACTGCTGCAGGAAAAGTACCCCAATTAATTCTTAGGCATAAAAGTTACATGCAAATACTACGTTCCGTTTGGCCCAGCTATTTCTCCCAATGTAGACTGGTCTCCTTGATTAGATAGGATCAGTTTTAACTGCCAGAGAGGAAAAGGAAAAACTAGGAGCTCCTCTCTGTATTCGATATGAACCTGATGAGGTAATCCAACTTCATGAACATCAGGTTCATAGGCTCCATCCTTCTTCTTCACTTCCTCTTTTACAGTGTTGGGTATCTTAGGTTCCATCAATGCTCATTGATCCTAGCCTTCCTCAAGCTGATGTCCTTCAGATGTTTTAGACTGTAGCCCCCATCACCTCCAACTAACATGGCCTTATTGTCTAAAGAGGATGTGGGTTGCAATGCACATGTCTGGAAGAAATCAGCTTGGGAGGGCTGCATGAGCTCATTAATTGAGATATAAAGCAGTTTATATCCAACTTTATGTAAAGTTTATGTGTAAACACCTTCTTTTACCAGCTCAATTGATAGTAAGATACTAGCACCAAGCCATAGTTCATTTTAGTCATTGTATTTTGAAGAAGACACAATGGGGGGGGGGGTCCACTGAATGTATTAACCATAAATGGGATTGAAAACTTCTGATTTTTGAATTTTTCAAAATCACAGGGGTGTTTTTTTTTTGAACTGTGCTTATTAAATGAGATAAATCGGCTAGTTCACACAATGTAATAAGCAAAAATCAAACAAATGGCTTAATGGGATGTGTGAATCCAGCTTAATGAGGCAGGGAGAAGCATTATTAAGAATGTCATTAAAGCAACAATGTCCAAAATAAGACTCTTAAAGGGCAGTGCTGTGAAAGAAAGAGCGGTAATCCAGGCAGAACCATAATTCCTGTAAAATATCCAGAGCGGACCATTCAAGTAGTGATATTCCAGGAACATTCATTCAAGGATACACAGTTATTTTTGGGTCAAGGGCAGCAATCAGACTTTAAGTGGTGTTTCCCCTCCCCCCTAAAAGGAGTAGGCAGCAAAATCTACAACTCTCTTCATTTTATATCCAATTAGTTATAAATAACTGTAGCTAATAGGTTAGTCTCTGGTCCTGTATTTAATTATGTTTTCCATCTTGTCACATTTAAAGACAGAACTTGATAATTTCTGAAGGACTCTGTGATGGGAACTGCATCTAAAGATCTTTGGAGTCCCTGTATCAATTCTAGAGGAAGCTCAAGTCGAGCCCTTTTGCATAAGATTCTATGAACATAAATGAGGTCAGCAAATTCTGATTTTCAAGAGGCATTTGTATTTCATCTCCTTTTTCCTTGCCGCAAAATTTATTGCCAGGATAGGATTATGTAAGCATGGAATCTCTCTTGTAATAGAAGTATGACATGTGTTTGAACAAGTTTTTTTTTAAATTATATAACATATTCCTATATTTTTTTTAAAAAGGCACAAAAGAGACCTAGAAAAATATGCAAAATAGCTATCTTCCTCCTGCACATTTTCACATTAACAAGAAAGATCCCTTGAAATTGGAAAAAGTTGAAAGAAAAACAGCTTGATCTTTGATAGGACTTTGAGAAGAGCCATGTTTTGGGGGGGATGGATTTGAGCTTTTATTTTTCTCTTTTCTTCTTTGGCATTTTCAGTGTCATCATAGGCAGGAAGAATCATTTTGCTATCAGAATCTAGGCTGATTCCAAACCTTAAGGTAAACATTAATTTTTCTAGGAAAGAAAAAGAGCACTCAAAAGCCCTCTCCAATCCCCCAAATGCGCTTCAAAACATCACTCACAAAAATCACAAGGGATAAAAAATGGTTGTAAGGGCCATGTGAAGTCATTAACAAGCAATCCCTGCTAGCAAGTTGTCAAAAATCCTGGCATTATTCCAATTCCTTAAATACCTAGATTTTCTTCCTCAACATTTGCTTTGAATAATGAAATACAAATGTACATGACCTGAGAACCAGTTTCTCAGTATTGGTTCTTTTTTCTTCAAAGAATATTGAGGAACTTTCCAGACACTCATCTAGGAGTAAATTAGGTAAGTAAATTTGATGAAGTTGATTTATGAACACTTGTGAGGTTTTTCTAGTGAGATACTAGATTCTGAAACTTGACTAATTTGTATAATTCATAGCCATGGAAGAACAATGTCACAACAACTACTTCTAGTATCTAGCTCAGGGGTCGGCAACCTGGGGCTCTAGAGCCACATGTGGCTCTTTCATCCCTCTACTGCGGCTCCCTGTCTCCAGTCAGCTCCACAATTGATAGGGCTTTTGGTTAGGATAGGTAGAGGAAAAAATATGCCATGCTAGGAGGAGACTCTATGGTGGGGGAACCAGACTTCCTGTTGGCTCCAGAATTGAACGGGGGGCTTCCAGTTAGGGTCTTTGTGACTCTTTGAGTAATTAAGGTTGCCGACCCCTGATCTAGCTGATGTTTTTTTGGAAAAATAGTGTAATCAAGTTAGGGCTTAGATGGAAAAGCACATAGAAACTGCAGATCTGTTCCAAGGAAATAAAAAACGTAACCCACAAGGTAGCAGTGGTAAAGTCTTGCCATCCTCTGGCCAGCATGTTCATGAAACCATCAGGAACCAAGATTCATTGGAGTCAGTCTAGTTAATTCAATATTCTCATCACTAGTCAATTGAACTACAGTTAATAAATTTTAACTGTATTGTTTTATTCACAATTAAGATGATAACTAGAGGATTTTCTCAGGACTATCCATAAAAGCTCCCCTTTTGAATATTAATGTATTTAACACATCCGGCTCTCGGTTACTAAAATTAATTAAAATCCTCACTTCTCATTGAGAGTTCAAAAAGGAGGGGGAGAGGGATGGGGAGCCTATTTTGCACCCAACACTCTAGTTACGTGATGGTGAGTGTTCCACAGAACAGAGGTGGCAAACCTGGTGGCTTTCTGGATAGGGTTTAACTATCTGGGAGTACCATTTCCCAGTACTGACCACAATGATGGGCAATGCAAGTCGTAGTCCAATGATATTTGATTCCCTATTCTTGTTTGAAAGGATGTTAAATTTTTTTAAAGGGTGTTATTTAAAAAAAGGCATATCTGATATAGTGATTGGCCTAGAAACCAGGAGACTGGGAGTTCTAGTCCCACTTTAGGCATGAAAGCTTGTCTCATAACTTTGGGTCAATTAATCTCTCTTAGCCCAGCTCACCTCATGGGGTTGTTGTTGTTGTTGTTGTGGGGAAATGAGGAGGAAGGAGTGTCGGTATGCTCGCCGCCTTGCGTTGTGTATGAGGGGGAAAAAAGGTCAGGATAAAAATCTAAATAAAAATATACAAGAAATCCATTGCATGTGACCTTAAATGTGCTTTTCCTCCCATTTCCTTATGCACCTCGGGTTAAAAAAATGTAATCTAGATCTCTGTTTTCTGGCTGAATTCAGGTGTGGGTCGTGAGGATACAGAGGGTCTCAGCGAGCGCCTGAGATGGGAAGCTTTGTCTACACTCCCCCCGCCAGTCCCCAGCCATTCTCTTTCGGAATGCTGAGGCCATCTTCCCTTTGATGTGCATCCTTCCGCCGCTCCCAACCATCGCCTGACCTCTTGCCTTCTCTCTCCCTGCCTCCCTCATTGTTCCCTTCTCCCGCACCGCCGCCACCTCCCCAACCCATCCTCCGCGTCTTTCTCCTCCCTTTGCTGATGTCATCCGCTGCCTGTTCTGGCTGAAGGCATCGGCGAGAGCAGCGAGTAGGACCCACCAGGTCGTACGCCCGCCCGCTCGCCCGCGATGATGGCTGCTACGGTGGGGAGGCAGAGCCTCTCGCCCACGGCTCCCAGTTAATACCCCAAGGGCGCAATGGAGCCCGGCGGCCCCGAAGAGCCCCCGCGTCTCCTGCAGTTACTGCGGAAACTCAAGGAGGTCTTTGATGTGTGTGACGAAGACGCTGACGGCTTCATCCGGGTGGAACACTTCGTCGCCCTCGGGCTGCAGTTCGGCCAGGGGGATGAGGTAAGGAAGGAGTGGCTTGGGCGGCGGGACACGATCGCCAGGTGGGGAGAGAAAGTGGGGGGACCCGCCGAAAAGCCAGGGGCCCTTCCTGACCGCCTGCTGAGGAAGCCGGATTCCTTAAGATCGGCTGTTCTTTAGAGGAGAGCCATGATTTGGACTACCTTGAGCTCTCCCCATTCCCCTGAGGCCCGCCGTTTTGTAAGGGGCCTCCCTTTCCTCTCCTCCCTCGCTATCCCTTCAGCCCTCCAACATTGGATTGGACAGATGATCTGAAGCTTGCTAGACATACGTTCTTCAAGTCAGGGCTTAGCCCTGAATGGTGTGGAAACAGGTGCAAATTTCTGAGCATGTGCAGAGAGCTTTCCCTCCCCTTAATGTGGCGCCTGTTGTCCCATTTTTGAGGGGAGGGATGTGGACTTTAACTTTCGCCAATTCCCCTTTAGACCAGGGGTCTCCAACCTTGGCAACTTTAAGCCAGGAGGACTTCAACTCCCATAATTCCCCAGCCAGCAAAGCAAAGCTGGCTGGGGAATTATGGGAGTTGAAATCCGCCAGGCTTAAAGTTGCCAAGGTTGGAGACCCCTGCTTTAGACTATAAGTGTTGTATTGCTTTGGGAGAGGGATAGTCACCCTTGGACAGCCACACAGATCCCTCACAAATATTTAATCACTGCAGCGGTCTCTACCCCATGCATTGGATACTCATGAAGCAGAAATCTACAGGAGAAAATAACTAGTGGCAACTAGTTCCCTACCATGCTGAGACCGCACCACCACCAACCCCCAGTGCCTGAAGCCCAAAACACCCCAAGAAGAAGATGTGTCCCAATGCCTTGGGTTGGAAGACCTTGCATTCAGCTCTGTAGAATAGACTGGCTGGTGTTTCAGGAATAACCCCCCACCTCCCCAGAACAATTGCAATATCCCTGACACCCCAGTCCTAATTTTCTAAATGTCAGAGAATCGTGGAGACTATTTAGGTCATCAGCTCCATGCTCAGTGCAAGAATCCAAATTTAAATCTGAGTGGTCTCTGCTTGAACACATCCAGAGAAAGAAGCTCACCTCTTGGGTATTTGTTCACGGTTAAACTGCTGTTGCTGTTCAGTTTTTCCCAGCATTCAGCCAGAATCTGTTTCCCTGTAACAAGACACTTATTCTGGGTCCTGCTCCCTGGGATGATAGAGATCAGATTTATGTCATCCCTTCAGGCATTAGCAAACTCCTGTCATATCCCCTTATCCAGTTACTGTATGTATGTTTACATCTATATCTATATCTATATCTATATCTATATATCTATATCTATATCTATATCTATGTCTGTCTGTCTGTCTGTCTGTCTGTCTGTCTGTCTGTCTGTCTGTCTATCTATCTATCTATCTATCTATCTATCATCTCTCTCTTTCTCTCTAACTATATATCTCTATCGCTTTCTACTTCTTTATCCCTATTATCTCTATCTCTATTTATCTATCTATCTATCTATCTATCTATCTATCTATCTATCTATCTATCTCTATACCTACCTACCTACCTACCTATTTATCTATCTATCTATCTATCTATTCTATCTATCTATCTATCTATCTATCTATCTATCTATCATCTCTCTCTTTCTTTCTAACTATATATCTCTATCGCTTTCTATTTTTTTATCCCTATCATCTATTATCTCTATCACTAGTTCTCTACCATCTATCTATCTATCTATCTATCTATCTATCTATCTATCTATCATCTCTCTCTTTCTCTCTAACTATATATCTCTATCGCTTTCTACTTCTTTATCCCTATTATCTCTATCTCTATCTATCTATCTATCTCTATCTATCTATCTATCTATCTATCTCTATACCTACCTACCTACCTACCTATTTATCTATCTATCTATCTATCTATCTATCTATCTATCTATCTATCTATCTATCTATCTATCTATCTATCTATCTATCTATCTATCTATCTATCTATCTATCTCTATACCTACCTACCTACCTACTATCTATCTATCTATCTATCTATCTATCTATCTATCTATCTATCTATCTATCTATCTATCTAATCCATCTCTCTCTTCTATCTAACTATATATCTCTATCGCTTTCTACTTCTTATCCTATTATCTCTATCTCTATTTCTATCTATCTATCTATCTATCTATCTCTATACCTACCTACCTACCTACCTATTTATCTATCTATCTATCTATCTATCTATCTATCTATCTATCTATCTATCTATCTATCATCTCTCTCTTTCTTTCTAACTATATATCTCTATCGCTTTCTACTTCTTTATCCCTATTATCTCTATCTCTATATCTATCTATCTATCTATCTATCTATCTCTATACCTCTACCTATTTATCTATCTATCTATCTATCTATCTATCTATCTATCTATCTATCTATTATCTATCTATCTATCTATCTATCTGACTAAAGTTACTGTTTACTCAGCCTCTCCTCAGTCTTTATTACCCTTTTCTGCACCTATTCTCATATCTTTTCTTAAAATCTGGTGTTTGGAGGTGGACATAGTATTTGAAGCGGGGTTGACCAGTGCAGAATAATATGAAATTATTACTTTATTACCTGGACTGATGCAGCCTAAGTTTGTTGTTGTTTTTAGCAGCCACGTCATGGTGCTGACTCATATTCAGCTTGCGATAAGTTCCAAGATCGTTTTCACATGTACAATTATCAAATTATTACCTCCCATCCTACCCTGTGCATTTGACTTCTTCTTAAGGGAAGAGCTTTGCATTTCTCTCTGTTAGGGTTAATTCTTTTATTTTCAGTCAATTTCTCTAATCCGTTAGCATCATTTTGAATATTGGTTTGGTCTTTCATAAATGTTAGCTTCCATCCATTTCTGTGTTATTTACAAATTAGATCATTCTCTTCCCCTCTTCAAATCTATTAATGAAAATGTTAACAGTGCCAGGCTCAGAATCAAACTTCATGGTACTCTACTTGATGAAGAATTATTGATGAGCACTCTTTTAAGTATTGTTTTCAAGGTAGCTTTAGATCACTTAATACATATTCCATCTCACTCAGATTTAACTAATCATAATTTACAATGCAATAGCATTTTATCAAACGCTTTGCTGAAATCAAGAGATATTATGCTCATAGCATTCCTTCAATCTATTAAGTCATAAAATTTGAAATAGAATTAGTCTGACAAATCCCTAATGATTTCTTTTCAAGGAGAGCCTTGGTAGTACAGTGGTTTAATGCACCCTGTTATTAACACAGCTGCCTGCAATTTCTGCAGGTTCGAATCTTACCAGGCTCAAGGTTGACTCAGCCTTCCATCCTTTCTAAGGTAGGTTAAATGAGGACCCAGTTTGTGGGGGCAATAAGCTGACTTTGTATAAATATACAAAAGTATGAAGGCTATTGCTTAACGCACTGTAAGCCACCCTGAGTCTCCGGAGAAGGGCGGCATATAAATCAAATAAAAAAAAAAAAGTGTTCTTTTCAAGAGTTATTTATTTATTTGTTTGTTTATTTGTTTATTGGTATCCTGCCTTTGCTATTTTTTACAAATAACTCAAGGTGGTCAACATCCCAACATATCCTCTTTCCCCCTCTCCTGTGAAGTGGGTTGGGTGGAGAGAGAGTGACTGGCTCAAAGTCACACAGCTGGCTTTCATAGCTAGAATTCACAGTCTCCTGCTTTGTTGCCTGGTACCTTTACCAATAGACCAGATCTCTGTATGATCTAGTCTTGAATCTTCATAGTTATCCTTGTCATTCTAACTAATCTGGATTTCCTCATGTCCTTTTTTCCTCTCTTTTCAAAGTTAGGGATATTTCCTTTCCTCCAGTAAGTTGGTACTTCATTCATTCTCAGAGATACTGAGCAGAGGTACTACTGGCAAATTCCTTCAGGTTTTCTTCGAGTATTTTTCTTTTTAGCACCTGTTATCTGTCTTGATCTGGTTTCCACACCAATTTCTTCTGCTACAGAGTCCTACTAATACTAAAAGTCAATTTTTTGAACATAAATTCTGGATGATTTAGTAGCATATCTGCCAATAGCACACTGCTATTGGAAGGTAAAATTAGTAAGAAAACGGGCATTTTGCTGGAGTCTCGTTGCCCAATGGATTCTTCTTAGGGTATCAAATCAGAGCAGCAAAAATCTGGATGATCATTAGGTGATGCCAAAAGATACAGAAACCACTAATTGTTTGCAACTATCTAGCAGTTAGTTACGTGAAGTTTGCAGTGCAGGTTTGATTGTCCTAATCTTAACTAAGTGCTCAAAGGACTCCTGATTCCACAGCTTTGTCTTTCTGATAAATGATAACATTTTGGTCTTTTATCTGCTCTTTATACCATCAAGAGCTTATGCACCTTGGGGCTTCTGATGTTTACGTGGCTGCTTCTTTAGAAACAAAAGAGCTCTCAAACAAAACTATGCTGCAAAATAATGGAGCAGGCAGTTGTATTCTAGTAATGATAGAAGGAAAAGCTTTCCTTAAATGCTGGTGAAAAATCTTGTGAAGAGTGTTTGAATCAAAATTCTCAAAAAAAAAAATTACTGCTTTTGAGAAGTAAAAATCAGGAAGCAATTTTACAGTCTGTGGGGAAGGGAAGGGAAGGGAGGGAGGGAAGGAGGGGGAGAGAGAGGGAGGGAGGGAGGGAGGAAGGAAGGAAAGAAGGAAGGAAGGAAGGAAGGAAAGGAAGGAAGGAAGGAAGGAAGGAAGGTCCCCTCCTCACCTACCTTTTCTCTTGCCTAATCCCAGCAGCCCTTCACTCATTTCGTTAGGTGTTTTTCTCTAATATATCGATATCTGTGGACAAAGGTCTCATTGACATTATCTCTGTTTGCTCACTGTCATTAGAATTCTGTACACTTCCGAGAAATCAGCCTTGGAGAGTACAGCAGATTCAGAAGGAGTGCTTATGTGCTGTTTCAGTATTGGTTTAACTGAAGATGTCTCTTGATGTGCGTGTGCAGAGGATGTAAGATGGGCTTAGT